TTGTGGTGTTTCCTGCTGTTTGTGGTGCTGTGGCCAGGAGTAATTCATAGTACTGGGGCTACATGCTCTTAGGGCCACCTTTCCAGGCACCCTGTAAGTACTGCCCTTGCGTGCTAGGGTTATCTTCCACAGGGCGTTTGGGAACTGTTCCATAGGGGTCTTTGGCTGCTCAGCATTTGCCCACTCTTGGGGCCAGCTGGGTTTTCGTGGTCTTTGTTTGGCTCTGGAGGAAGTGTTGTTGTTGCTGGTTGGCTGCAAGGTGCTGTGCAGCTCGCCTACCTATTTACAGTGGCCAGTTTTCTGTTCCTCCTGGGGACATTGTGCTTTTGCAGGTTTTTTTTCTTTTTCCTTTGTTTTGCCTGGAGGGGGTCTGCTCCTTGGTTATATCTACCTAGGGTCTTTATTGGTGGCCCTCTGCTAGGCCCCCGCAACGTGCTTGTACACTTTGCAGGGGTCCAGTTTAGCAGTTCTCTGTTAGTTTATCATTCTAACCGTTTAGCAATACCATGCCCTAGGCTTCCCGTAGCAGTCAGCCTATGGGCCCTGGAAAACCCTGTCGGGGCTTGTTGGACCTGTGGATGCGTCCTCCGAGTTCCATCTCGCCGAGTGCGAGTTTGCGGGTTGCTCATTGTCCTTGTCTCAGGGTGACACTCACCTGTTGTGCCTCCGTCATGCTGCCTGTTGGGTCAGTGACACCTTTGACCCGGTGTCTTGTGAGTCATGCTCCTTGCTTGTGCTCCAGTTTACCCATCCTTCTGATATTGATATTCGGGTACAGGCGGCTTCGGTATTGCATAGTAGGTATATGTTGCTGCAACGCGCTAGGTTGGTTGCCCACCCGGATGCCCCAAGATTGCCCTGTTTGGGTTATAGAGACCTGGACTTGGGGGCGTAAGTTGCTTCGACCTTGGTTCAGACCGCGCTCCCGGTCCTTCTCCAGTGGGCCCCCTGTCCTGTTCCCCTTCCCTGCTTCCGGCTCCCAAACGTCTGAGGGTTTCGGAGTCGGGGCGAGGTTTAGATGGTAGTGAGACTTGGGTGGCTTCGGGGGCTGCCCCATTCGGGTTGGAGATGGAGGCATTCGAGCCTGATCCTCCTGCCAAGGCTTCTGGGTCCCTCCAGCAGACCCCCTTCTTGTCAGCTTTTCCCCTGGACTCTGCCTTTTCTTCAGGGGTGGAGGGTGTGGAGGATGGCTCTGCCCTGGGTCCTGGTTTGGAGGCTCCTGGGGCTGGGGGAGGAGTCGACCTGGGGGGGTCTTAGACCCCCTTTGATCCCACTTGGGTTTTGGTGCCCTCTTCATAGGGTTTGTTGTTGCATGGTGTGGGGTTTCTTCCCCCTCCTTCCTGTACGAATTTGATTTGGGGTCGACTCCTCCCTGGGTTCGGTTTTGACTTCACTTGGGTTCTTTGGCTTCCTCTTTATGGAGGTTTTCTGCCTCCTCCAAGGAGGTTAAGGAGGCCATTGCGGCTTGCCTCCTGCGAGACCCGGATTTTGCCTCTGTGATGGATCCTCCTCTTTTGAGTTCAGTTCTTCTTCCCAATATTGGGTGCGTTATGAGGTCCCGGAGTCTTCCTGGTTGGCAGACTGCCCTTTCTTTTATCAGGGAGCATGGCATGGGTTCTGTCAGACCCGCACACTTGAATGGCAGGAGGCTTCCTACAGGATTACTTGGGGGTTTACCTGGGGGGCGAGTTTGAGCACCTTAATGCGTGCCTGTTTGCCCCTGTGCTTCCTCGTGATGTTTGCCTTGTGCAGCTGCACACGCAGGTTCCCACCCTTTCAGCTGCTTTGGTGGCTGAGGATTTGAGCACCCATGGGCATTTGGCCTCGGTCTTGCGCTTTCCATTCCCTTCTCGAGCTGTCCTCGGACTGGCTTGAGGAGGACATGGAGGCACTGAGTGCTGGGCTTTCATCTGGTGCGCTGGCCTCGGCTGCTAGGGTGTCGGCTGCCTTGTTGAAGTTGTTTGCAATTCTCAAGGAGGCAGTGTCTCTGTTCTTTGCTTCTCACCTCACATGCTGCAAGGCTGTCCTCGCTCTCTCCTTGGAATCTGCTTGGGCTTGGCTCTTAGGTTTTCGTCACTTTTGTCCGTTGCTGTTTGCAGACTGCAAGCAGTTTTGTCAGTTTTTGCAAGCTGACTTGGCTAGTTGCCGTCCTCTTTCAGACTTGTTGGTTCTTCAGGGGTTCTCTAGTCGTGGTTGGCTGTTGGTGCCAGTTTTGGGGGTTTCTCTAGTCATGGTGGGCCGGTGGGGCCAGTTTCGGAGCCGGCGTTTCCTTTGGAGCTGGCAGCGTCTAGTTGGTGCAGTGGCCTCTTTGCTTGTCGGTCGGCTTCTCATAAGAGGTGTCGGCCCTTTCGTGGGTCGCCCCATTGATAGAACGATGGGGGGTGAGGCTCGCACTGTTTGCTCATGCCTCCTCCTCCTGTCGGGGGTTCAGTGTAGGCTGGGCAGGCTTCTTCCCCATCTCTGTAGGGTCATCTTGGAGTGGGTTTACTTGGGCGTAGTCAAAAACGACTTCATCCCTCAAGTGGGTCTCTCGCGTGTTTCCTGTTCCGAACTGGGACTGTGCAGATCTTTGACTCATTCTGGACTTGTCCCATCTGAACCATTTGATTCCTTGCCCCTCCGTTTGAATGACTATGTTGTCCCAGGTCTGGCTTCTTCTCAAGCCGGGTGCTTAGATGCTTTCTCTGGACCTCAAGGACACATATTGGCACGTTCCTATTCATCTGGGGTTTAGGGATTGGTTTGGTTTTGTGGTCAGGCATCAGGCTTACCGCTTTCGTTGCCTTCCATTTGGTCAGAATCTGCCACCTCGTTTTCACGCGTTTAACAAAGGTCGTGGTGACCCGTCTTCATCTGCTAGGTATTCGGGTTCTGGGCTACCTCGACGACTGGTTGGTATGGGCATCCAGCTGGTCTGCGTGTCTGCAAGCCAGGGATGTGCTTTTTTCCTAGTTTGCTGGGTTTGCATTCCTGGTGAATTGGTAAAGTCCCATCTGGTTCCATCCCTGGTTCAGACTTAGCTGGACTTAGTGTGGGATTCTCAGACTGCGTTCGTTTTTCTCCCTCCTGTGGCTTTTCTTTGGATGCAGTCTCATAGTCTGCTGTTTTGAATGGGGTCCGGGTCACTCGGTGGTTGCTCGAGGAGCTGTGCAGGAGCCAGAAATTTGCCTTGCTGGCTTTTCTGCTTGGGTAGGGTTTGGCTTTGGAGGCTGTTCTGTTATCTTCGGGGCAGCCCCTTTCGCCACTCTCGCTCTCGCTGGGTTTGGACTCGGGTCCTTGTGTCGGTTGATGCGTCTTCAATTTATTCTTCGTTTTTTGGGGGGTTCGGTGCCATGACGCCTTCTCCTTCCATCACGTGATGTGTTCACAGATGCCTCGCCTCTCGGCTTGGGGTTTGTGACCAGTGTTCACCTGGCTGGCCAAGGGCATTGAGCTCCGTCCTTTCATTGGGCTCACAGCATGGTGCGGGAGTGTGTGGCTGTGTGGCAAGTGCTGCGGCAGATTCGGTAGCCTTGGGGCTCTATGTTCCTGCTCCATCATACTGTTCCCCCTGGGGTTCATTGTCTCAACTGGGGAGTGGGGGTGGGGGGCTCTACTGTTGAGTTCTCGGGGTTTAGCTCTCTGTGCTGTTCACATTCGGGGGGGGGGGGGGGATGCCCAACGTCCTGGCGAATGGCCTGTCTCTTCATTCCTCTTTCCACGGAGTGGATGGTCGACACCGCCTCCTTCCTTTGACTTTGTCGGACGTTCGGCCATCCGGAGGTGGACCTCTTCATGTCGGCTTGGTCCCGGCTCCATTCCCTGACTGCGAGGCCTTCGCGGTAGACGCTTTCCGGCAGGACTGGTCGAAGTGGGGGTTCCTGTACCTTTATTTCTAGGTCCAGCTGTTGCTTCAGGTTCTGGCTCGGATTGAATCCTTTCATGGGAGAGTGGTTCTCCTGGCCCCATGGTGGCCGGCCCAGCCTTGGTTTCAGGTGCTGCTTGCACGGTGTCTGAACCCAAGCGTTTTTCCATGGCTCTGCCTCTTACAGCAGGTCGGGCCGGTGAGGTATCTCTCTGGTTCGACTTACTCTTCCGCTCTTCGCATCTGTTTTCTCTTGATGCGGGTATATTGCCATTTATATGGGTGGTTTCATTGATGGTGTCCCACCTGCTGTCATCCTCTCAGCGACAGTATGAAGTCTCCTGGCGGTCTTTCTGCCATTTCCTTTCCCTTAGTAGGGTTTTGTCAGTATCTGTTCCGGTTGTTTTGTCCTTTCTTGACTCTTACAGGACCGGCGTCTTATGCCAGATACTGCCACTTGTTATCATGTGGCGTTGGCGGAGCCGCTCCAGCTTGCGTCGGGGTGGATGATGCTTCCGCTCCATTCCCAAAGCGCTCTCGTGCATTTTTCGGATTGAACCGATTTCCCTTGTTTCCTATTCCAAGGCTTGGAATAGGGCTTTCAGGTCGTCCTCAGGGTTATTAGGTCCAGCCAACCTGCGGTCTGTCCTCGTGCCCATGATGTGCGTAAGTATGCTGCTTTGGCCGTGCCGTGTTTGCTAACATGTTCTGGGCTGAACATACGGACACGGGAGGTTTTGGAGGTCGTACAGGGTCCTGGTCACCCGTTATTTGGTAACTGTACCTGGTTCTAGACGTTCATGTGTAGCCTTGGACTGCTGATTGCAGCCAGTTGTCTTGCCTTTCAGTTGAGGCGCGCATTGCGGCTGCCTCCTGGGCAAATCCCTCTTTTACTTGTCTTAGGTTATGTAGCTCCAGGAACCCAAAGGAGGCTCCCCACAGAAAACCAGTGTTGAATGCAATCAAACTCAATTTCTGGGTGAGCACCGGACGCTCCCTGGCCCCCCTCCCCCCCTCCGGTCAGCAGTTTGGTTTTTTGATGCTTAGCCTGCGAGGAATTTGAATGTATTCTTTCATGGTTGAAGATTAGTTTATCTAGTTTTTATTAAAAATATGCTTGCTGGGTTGGGGTACAGTATTTTAATTTGAATATTTAATTTGCCTTTGTTTGGTTTTTGGTTAGGTGTATTTCCAGAGCCCGATAAGGACCCTGTGATTCAGATTGGCAACATGGTGCAACGTCAGGGCGAAGCAGAACCTTTTTTACGCACTATCTTCACCTTGGAGCAGTGTGCCCCTATTCTGGGTGCCAAGGTTAAGTCTTATAACAAGGAAAAAGAAATGTTGGAGGTAAATACCATTAATTTGACTAGTCATATAACATGAAGTACAAGTTTATTAACTGCTATTCTATCACAGGACCTGATATTCATATCATCATTAGCCTCTGTCCTATTTTCATTTTGTGAGGAAGCACCATCCAAGGAAGCCTGAAAAATATTATCGGGAAGGGGGGCTTAAAATGTTTTGTTAAAAGAATCAAAGAGGCGGCTTTGGGTGTGAATATAATGTCAACTTCAACCAGTGGAAAAAATTTTAAATGTAAGGGTTTAGGAAGTCCTCAGAACCTGCCTTCAAGGTGAAAAAAACAAATGGGCTAGACACAGCAGTGACAGCATCCACATTTCCTGCCAAGCTGTACAGAGTACTGGAAAAGCATAGATTAGACATACCTGAGAAAGTTTGAATATATATAGGACCTGCCTTATATAGGCAAATAGGCCTTGTGCAGTTGCATACATTATGTTGTTACAATGTTCAGGTTAGCACCGAACCTAGAGCAAGTCATCCAGTTCTCTAACTAGACTGATCAAAGTAAAAACTTTAAAGAACAACACTAGAAAACTTACAAACCTAGCCTTGAGAGAAAATACAGAGGTTAGAATAAAAAATGGCAGCAACTAGCTGCACCTTCCTTAAGCCTTATCCAATACAGACCTGCTCTTCTTAGCTTTTCTTTAGCCATTTTGGTGGGGTTTCCTCAGTGTGGGGTGTTTTAAGTCTGTTTTCTTTCATTTTTTGAAGGGGCAGGATATCGATGCCTGTTCCTGGTAAGTCTTGAGATGGTCACCGATTCCTAGTATGTTGTATTTGACCCTGAAGTACCACTGCATAACCTCAGGGAAGTCACTGAGGGGGGACTCCTAGAATAGCATGAACAATATATACAAATTCACATCATCTTCCTTGGCAAACAAAGTTCAATTGTTTAATAAAATACTGCATTTATTAATAACCTGCAGTACTGTGATATTAAATTTTGCTGGTTTTGAAGGTACATACAATGAAGGCTGATTAACATTGTAACAAGTAAAAATAATGCAGAGTACAAAATAAATGTGCTGCATGTAACAGAGCATAGAAACTGTACAATTACTTGCTTGGAGAACCTGTATAAATATTTGAGTGGAGTTCTCTTGAACTTAGCCTTTAGTCAGTTCGCTAAACATTTCCAAGTATACATTTTCATATGATTCAGATGACACTAAATTTACTACACATTTTTAATATTTGAGACAATATTGTTACCCAAAATTCTTGTCTGTCCTTACGATTGTATGAACTATCCATAGTGATCAAGAAATTTATATATCTTCTTTTATAAACCAGTGAAATTCTTTTCAGGCCTTAGTTGCAGTACAATATATTAAAATCTGTGTGTTGTTTTCATACAAGTTTAGCAATTGCATTAATGTTGCAGGAATGGGCAAAGTTCTTACGAGAAGTAGATCCGGACATCATCACAGGCTACAACATCAACAATTTTGATTTCCCATATTTGATAAACAGGGCAAATCATCTTAAATCACAAATGTTCTCCTTCCTCGGCAGAATAAAATCTATTAGGTGTGTAAAGCTCTTTTGTCTGTGCATGCTATGTTATTAAAGTGTACATGGGGTTTGTTTATTAAGTTTTACATGCATATCTTTTTTGTATAGTTTTAGAACCTAATTTTTCAATTGTACTTCTGTCTGTTACATCTTTTAATGAAGGACGATGCCAATTTGATCTCTTAATGGTAATTAGATTTCACAAAATTTATGAGTACACTACTAATATTAGTTTACTTTCACTCAGAAATCAATTTATAGGAAGCCTTCTGGTACACCAAAGGACACCAAGGCTTCTGATAGTGTGTTTTGGGGATAATTTCCAGTTTTGTTTGACATTCATTTGTACCAAACATATTGACTTCCTCTTTCACCCTTGCTGAGTTATGACTTAATAATGGTTTAGGACTGAAAAATGTACTTACCAGGTATTCCTTTTAAGTGGTTTGAGTTTGTATTAGGACTCATTCAGCTTCCTCCATATCTTTGAGGGCAGGATTCTGGCACTTGCAGCAAGTCATGATAGGGTCACAGATGCCCAGTGTGTTGAATTTGGCCATGGTGTACTCGTGTATAAATTCTCGGGAACTTTAATGGTATGGGTGGAAGTGGCAGATATTTTTCTTAATAGATAAATTAATATAAATTGCATAAATAATTCA